GAGTGTTTGTTCATAAATATGTCTCATAAGCAATTACATGCTTCCTGTGAGCTGCTTATTCTCCACTTAAAGTCGCTTAAGTCTAGTGTGCACACAGCAATGATAAAAGTTTTAATATCTACCGACAGCGAACTTGTATTCTTTCAGTATTAGCAGTGTAGTAAAGTACCATACTCTCTACATTTTTCATCCTATTCCTGCATGAATGCAATGTAAACTAGAATAAAGATGATTTTTATCAGTGTATTTTATTTTCCAAAGGCAGAGGGACAGTTGAACTTGCTGTATTTGTTGTTTGGATTTGTCCCAGTGAAGTTAAAGCACAAGTGGGAAGAAGGCAGCTTTTTATGCATTGGATTGTTTCAGTACTTCATAGGTGGCAGATGTTTAGTTCCCTCTGTTTCTGATGAGGGCTGATGCTACTGGATCTTCTGAAAACTGACTATAGGCCCCTAAGTCTGGATGGTTTTAAGATCTGTAACAGCAGAGCAGGCAGATTACAGTGGAAATACCAGACAAATATAAACAAATGAATTTTTTTACCCTTGAGCAAGGTAAAGAATTGAGCACATCTGCTTTCTCTGCAGAAGCTGTGCCAAGGACGAGCTCACAGAGGTGATATCAGGAACCTGCAAGAGTGACACATTGATGTTCAATGTCTCACAGATCGCTAACATAAACTAGCGTGGCTGTGAGGCACTGCATTTTATATGAAATAGTGCAGCATAGCTTTATGCAGATTGGGCTATGATAGGGCTCTTAGTAATCAGCTCGTGATAAAGCAGTGCGCTGAGCAAAATAGAGCACACCTTGTTTTCTGAAGATTAGAGGTTTGAAGGCTATGTAAATTTAGTTCTGGTTTTGAAACCGCCTTAGGTGTTAAGAGTTTTCTGTTTTACTTTTCTGAGAGTAGCGTGCACGGCTGACTTTCTGGGTAGATGGAGTCTTTGAAAAATCAGATGCCTTTTTTCCTAGTCCTTCTTCGCTAATATTTGAGCAGGCCATTTTTGTCTTTGGTTTCATTTCTTTAGCATAAATAATAAAGCATATTTAATGGGTTAGGAGACATCAGAAAGAATCTTATTTTTCTACTTCATGACAGACAGAAGGATGTAGTACCTCGGCCCCAGATGAAGCTAATAATCTTCAGCCATTGCCACAGGTTTCCTGTTAATTTCAGAATACAGAGCCTTGCAGCTATTCTATAGGGTGCCAGGTTACAGAAAAATATTTATTTACTTTCTTCCTTAGTGTGGTGTATTTGTTTTCCCTAATTCTTTTCCACTTATCTAAGGAAAGTAAATCTAATGACTAAGTAATCTCTCACATAGGATTTTGTTTCAGATTTCTTATCAGCTGCCATTGTGCAAATGTAATCTGAGTAATAGGAGAAGAACTGTTACCATATGTATGTTTCTTTGATAGTTTTAGTAAAAAATAATAATTTATATAGTTTTTCCATGGTTTAAGCCAGTATATTAGCCAGATTTTGCTCATGACACACTTCCCTTAATGGACAGAGAGAGTACGCAGCTGGTGGGGCTTTACTGACTTTCCTGAGTAACGTTTCAAATTCTTTATTTATTTTTTTATTAGGTATAATCTCTGTTAGGTGGAAGAAATAGTACAAATCTGCAAAGATTTGTCATGGTGTTCATGTATTAAAGTTGCATGCACATGCTTGGGCAGGATGTGTACTGGCAGTGATACCGCAAAATAGTACTAGCAATTACTACTTGTTGCAGAGTTACCTAGAAAACGGGATCTATCTGAGATTGTGCTCAGGTAAGTTATATTCCTGAGAACTTTAGAACCTAATCATTTAAATTGTTAGTTCTCAAAATCTGGATCCGTTAAATTTTATCTTGTCTTGCAACTGCAGCCATTTCTTACAGCTGTAGGTACCCTAGATGTCCGGTGCCACTCAGGAACATAATTACAAATATCTTGATTGTGCGGCGTTGTCTGGTACTTGTGCTATTCCCAGACAGCAGCAAGATTCAGAAACAATGTATTTTACCGGCTGGGCACTTACTAATCCACATCTTTTCTTACACCTCATTTGGAACACATAAAGAAATAGCTTCAGCTGGTGGGATTGGAGGTTTTGTGACATGTCCAGCTCGCATTCAAAGCTTTGCTGCATATTAGCTAGAGGAAGGACTGCAAGACAGATTGTTTACAGCAGGTGTTTTTGAGTGTTAATTGATCAATTGCTACAAAGACACTGATATCTCCTCTGTTCATGGGTTCTTTGTGAGGGAGGACAGACCAAGCTGAGAACGGTTTCAGTGCAGGATGAGGCTCACAGTTGTGAATGGAGAGGATTTAAGTGAAGACATTACTTCAAAAGAGTATCGTATCTCCTCCATTGGTATTTTCTCTTACCTACATCAGCCAGTTGATAGTAGACATCTCTGTTGTTGAACAAGGAGCCTAAAGTTGTTAGCTTGCAGCTGTGAATTCTGACGGGTAGAAAGACGCTGCAGCCTAGGGAATAATGAAAAAACTTAAGTACTTTGAGTAGATACAATGGAAAGAAGAAACTGTTGTATCCTTAAGCGACCACTGTGTAAATAGGAAAAACAGAGAAAAGCAGAGGTATTTCTATTTCTCATCTGAATAACTGGTATGCTTGTTTCCTAAGGTTCATAAAAAAAAATACGTCCTCACAGTAGAAGGCATCAGAACCAGAAGGAAGTTGTTCAGAATGTCCCACTCTGTTGCAGCGCAGCTGGAGCTGCAAAGCCTCTGGTTTCTTGTTTACTTGAAAATGTTGTCCATTTGAGGATTGTGCACGTATACAGATTTTTCGAGGATCCTCCTCCGACAAAGTGAGGATCAGATGTACTCTACATGCAAAAGAGACTATATGCTCACAGAAACATTGAGCGTACACAGAGCTAGAAAATTATATCCAGGTAAGTATTTCAGATACAGAGATGGGAAGCAAAGTTTTGAATTTGACTATCAGATCAGACACTTCCTGGACAGAAATGTGGTTCCCTAATTAACAAGAGTACGTTTCCTTATGCAAAACCCACTGGTGGTCATAAGCCATTTTTGCTTTATTAAAAAACAAGAAAAGATTGTTACAATTTCATAGAATCACAGAAAGTTTTGGGTTACTTAGAACCAATTAATGTTTCTTACAATTTTTATACTTTTTGTATGTGTCTAGAAATGTGGAGTTATCTGTTAGTTCTTGATTGTTCTCCAGATTTATTTTTCCATTCTTCTAGAAGAAAAAGAAATGTCTCAACACTCAATTTGTTCTCAGTATTTGCGTAACAGGTGTGCAAGCAAAAGTAAAGAGGATAATTTGTGCCCTTGTTATCCAGTCTCCACTTCAGCGGTGTCATTTAACAGACGCAATACTTTATAAAGGGGACTTGTGTGACCTGATGTTTCATTTCACTTTGGGAGCAGGAAGGTAAGTTGAATTTTCTTTTAATAAATCACACAGAACTTTAGCTAGAAGGCAAATATTCCTTCTCATTTCCGTGGTCATATTTAAATTTTAAAATTAAATTTTCCTTTATTATTTTTTACTTTTCTTGAATTAGAAATTTTACTATATGAGAACATGCCTGAAGGACAGCAGACTGTAATGACTGATGAAGGTCATTAAAACCAGATTAAAACTGAAGAGCTGTTTTTTCCATTTTGCTGTGTAACTGATCAGGACTCTGACTCTGCATCATAATCTAATTATGAGCTGGATGCAGTAGTCCATTCAAATGTAATTTACTGAATGACCAGAACCAGACAAAGAGTACATGTTGTAATTGCATTTCCTTATCTCAGGGACAGAATTATTCCTAGCCACCTAAGGTAGGTTTCTGTTAGACACTTTAATGATCAGTTCTCCAAGACTTTCTCCAGCATTGTCAGAAGTGCCTGCTAGCCTTCAAAATAGTAAATGGTGAACAACTTGAGACATTTGTGATTCAACACATCAAACTGAACAGCACTTTTAATACAGCATGTTTCTTATCGGTTGGATTTTAAATTTCCACTTGTCAAAGCGGCAATTCTTACCCACGAGGAACAGACACTGCTACTACTTCAACAGATTCTTTATGCAGCAAACTGCTGAAATTTACGACGTAATTGAATAGACTCATGTTCAAGGGTACGTCCCACTGAACTGATTTTGATGAGACATTCCTCTAGAAAAACAAGAGAACTTTGCGTGTAATAATAGTTGGTATTGAAGAAGACATTGTCAAAAGTCTTCTATGATAGAGTGATATAGTCAGTCTGGAAGATGTAAACAATACTTTTTTTTTTTTCACAGTTCTGTCCTATTTTAGTGTGTCCATTTAATAAATGGTAATAATAATGAAATTATTTTTGTTCTGCTTGACTAACCCTGACATTTTCAAGCTTGTGGAAATTTGTTCAAAACAAGATAGGAATTTCAATTGAGCTCTTAAATTTTGCCCATGACTCTATCAGTCTGCTTTTTTCAAATAAATTTGCTTAAATAGTACTGTGATTAACGACATTGTTAACTAGCTCCAAACTCTCAAAACAACCTATGTTATCAGATTGTGCCTTTCAGGTTGGTAGCATACGCAGCTACGTTTCATTGAGTGATTATAACCCTTACAGACAACTAATGACTTAAGAGCGACCAGTTACACCTGAGCCATCATTTCTCCAGGATTAATCCAATAAATAGTCAGTGAGAACAAAAAGAATGATTTGTCTTCAGTGCTACTAAAAGTGGAGCTGTCATGACCATACCAATCTATATCAGTCTAGAAAGGGTTTGGTGTATAAGCTATGCAAGGGTAGAAAAATATGTCTGGGAAATCTCTTATACCTGTACGATAGACTTTGAACAAAAAAAGACAGTAAATTGCAAGAAGGGACTAATGGTTGTTGGAGAGCAAGGGAAAAAGTGTTCAATTATATAAGCCAATGCCTACAATTTCACACAGGATAATTTCCTGACAAACATGTGTGGTTTTTTACATCTGGCCAGAGCAACCATGTTGTCTTACACATCCTACCTGCTCACAGCAGCAGCTGCTTTGCTAGTGACGTGCCACGCTCTGTGTAAGTGTCCAGGAACTCCTGGGCTACCTGCTGTTACTGGGCTGCTTGGAAGAGATGGTCTGAGAGGACAGCCATGTCTACTCAGTAAGTAAACTTCCCTTTTATGCAACAAATCCATGTTCTGAAGGCTGCGTGAATAAAAACAGTCAATGCAGAAGGACACATGCTGTCGAGGAAGCACCTACATCAAGCATAGGAGGGAAAATAAATGGAAGAAATGGTCAGTTTATTTTATTTTTTTCCCCACTAAAAAAAAAGATAGGCTTCCTTTCTCTTCTGGGAGAAGAGTGGAAATGAAGAGGTTATCAATAATTAAACAAATGAATATATTATACATATCTTTGTAGTGCTTTTCTATCGACATTGCAGGAGGAATTGCTTCTTTCACAGCAGAAGCTTTTTCTTTTTTTATAGTGTGAAATAAATGTTATTCCAGTATTTACAACTCTAGTTAAAAGGCTTCTAGCATGTTTCTCTAGCATTTAAAGATGGTATATGCAATATTAGTGTAGCAAGGAACACCCTTTGCACAGTGTAATTTTCTTTCTATGTAGAAACGCTTTCTCCACGTCAATTACTAAGGCTAAAGCACAAGCAAAATTTTTCATAGATGTGACACATTTCATCTTGAAGTTAAGTTTTATTTCATCCTGAATTTTCCAGAATATGTTTCGATTGGGAAGAAAATTGTGCTTCTCTTTTCCGGGTCCCATAGGAACCTCTGGAAACCTCGTGTGGCCTCTTGGAAGAGGTGGTCTTCCTTGGGCACAAGGCGAGAAAGGAGAAAAAGGGGATAAAGGGCCATTTTGTGTAATAGGCTGATGTCCGTATCATGTTCTGCCAGTCAAATGGACTCTTTTTATTGGGTCAAAAATGCTGGGTTTTTCTACACACTGTGAGGTGCAGTAAGAGTTGCAACATTGCGACTTAGAGAGGGAGATGCAGCAATACTTTGTGCTTCTACTTTCCCAATTATTTTAGTTGTGAGTAACAGGAACACAATAATGAGAGCACGTAGGATCTCTGTTACCCATGGAAATTTGTATGAAAAAGGTACCTACCATTACAATGAGTTTCCATCTTTAACAAGCAGCGCTGGATGGACAGTAATTCACACAATCTGTCCTGAAACCCTTCTATACCAGTGTTTATGGATTCCATTAAAATGAGTTCCTACAGTAAAAACACAAATCATCCACACAAAAAGATAAAAAAGAAAATGGAATGATGCTATAAGAAATTTTCCCTCTCCAACGTCTCCTTGTGCCTGTTCAAGAATGGTTATTAGAACGAATGTCTTTGGCAAAGCCATTTTTACAGACATGAAAAACTTAAGGATTCAGCGTAGAAAAAAATCAATTTCTTCTCTGCAGAGCAGAATTATCAGCATTTCAGAGGGTGGAAAGTTTTTGTTTATTTGATGTCATACAAAATGAACAGCAGTGTGAAAAAATACTGGAAAAATATTTATTTATTGCAGGTGATGTTAAAAAATACATTGTGTTCTAGTTAGTTATGGAAAATGACTAGTTTTAGCCAAGGAATTGTTTCTATCAGCAGAGCCTAGTTTTGCTTGATTGTATAACTTCTGTTTTTATCTAGGTCTAATGGATTCTCTGGACATTGAACTCAACAATGATTTAGTAAATTTGAGACACAGAATATCCAGACTTGAAGGCGGTAATTCCCATTTTTTTAATTCACAATGAGTTTTAAGTGCAATAGGCAAAACTAGTTATAGAGCCATGACTTGTAGGAAGGAAATTGCACTTGAAAATAGTACTGCATGCCAAAACTCCATTTTGTTATTCAAAGCAAGGAGAACAGGACTGATTTTACCTGGACAAGAATATTTCTGTCAGGAACACAAATGAGCATTTATTCAAATATAATTTATTAAAAAATATTCCAAACGATGTTGCAATTTCCAGGTAGATTAATGGTAACTCAGCCTTGTACCACATTGCTAGCATTTTTATCTCTCAGCAGCCAGACTGTTAGAGGTACTAGTGAGAAGGACTTCACAAAAATTATCATTTCTCTGTTTCTTTCAAATTTGAAGCAAATTGATCCTCTTTAGAGAGTACACACAATATAATAGCACTGCTAATGTCTGTAGGAACTGTTTGTGGGGCATCCTTGTCTTGGAGAAGACAATGACTGATCGTCACAAGCAGCGTAGCAATGTATTTAGTGAATAACTAGTGTATTTGTCAAATTTTGAAGATCTTTATACTCCTCTTCATACTTTACTCCCATTCTTGCCCAGTTTCCTCCTCTGGTCCTCTTACTGCTTTTAATTTCCTCTTCATCTCAATTTCTTTCTTTACTTTCTCATCAAAATGTCATAGGAAATTAAAAAAGCTAACTAGGTTTTTTTATTTTCATGTTATAGTTCTTGCTTTGAATGGCAAAATAAGAGAAGTAGGAGACAAAATACTTGCCAGCAATGGGAAGGAAGTTGATTTTGAATCTGGACTAGGATCCTGTGAAGAAGCTGGAGGAACTGTTGCAACTCCCATGAACGAGGAGGAGAATAAAGCTATTTTGGATATTGTGAAGCAGTATAACCGATATGCTTACTTGGGCATTAAAGAGAGTGAGACTTCAGGTCAGTTTCTGTACATAGATGGCACAGCTCTGAATTACACCAAGTGGCACCCACATGAGCCTAATGGCAAAGGGGCAGAAAAATGTGTAGAGATGTACACTGATGGGAGCTGGAATGACAAAAAATGCAACCTGCGACGCCTCACAATCTGTGAATTTTAAAGGACAGCTTTTCAGCAATCTCACAAGATAGAGACAATGAAATAGCCTGCCTCTTGGGTTTATGTAATTTCTACAGATGTTTATTATTCAGAAAATCAAAAACTTAATCATATTTCTGCATTTTTGATCTTTAAGAAAATGCCAAATGTGGTTGATGATCAACTTAATTAAAATATGCATGATCTGATGTGTTTATCTCTTTTTGGATATTTGGGAACAGCTCAGAATTAAATTTTCATTGTAGACTGTCTCTGTGCACTGTGCCTTTGTGAAGATTATGGAAAAATTCTAAGGCAGGACTTGGAATGTTGAAAAAGTCTGAAGTTCAAAATGCCCGTGGCTTCATAGTTGAAGAATTTCCAAGTGTTTAATACCTCTCCTTAAGAGATGTACAGAAGTTGACTTCCCTGGAGAACTTATGGTCTCATATTTTGTACATATCTGAATTATAGAGGTTGGTTTGCGTCATATTGAAGCTTGCATTGACTCATTCAGCATACATATTTAACTCGTTACATAAAATTATTAACAGCAGCAGCCACAATTAATTTTCTTAGTTTCAGAATCTACTTTCTAAAAAAGAGCAAGATAAACATTTGATTAGATGCATGTAAAAATAGAAATATCTGTATATAATATTAAAGATGGCATTTCATTTCTAAAACATCCTTTCCCTCATAATACTATGACAACTGCAGTGTTAGAAGGCCAAGCGTCTCTTCCTAGTCTACTGAGCAAGCACATACTATTTTGGGAGAGCAGGTAAGATTGGAAGTTTGACTAATTCTAAAACAAGCAATTTCTCTGATGTCATGCAACAACACAGTCAGACCATGACAGGATCAAGCAGTGTCTTTTCACAGAGTATGTTTACCACTACTCACTTTGAGTACATGGTGAGAAGTATGAGCTCAGTAAAGTAAAACAAGTAGGAAATTCTCACATGCTTACTTTGCAGTGAGGAAATGCTGGGCTCATCCATTTTCGTTTTCACACAACATAAGGGGAAAAAAAACTGGAATTAAAAAACATGCATAAATACTTTGACTTCATCTTCTCTTTCTCCTCCACACTTGACTCTGTGTTGGGAGACCACAGGGACCTGGACTTGACTCTGGGTGGTGTTGTCCTGTGACCCTAGCCTGCCTTAAGGAAGAGATGAAATGTGTTCACACAGTCATTTTCAGCCCTGTCAAGTAGGGAAGTTTTAAGTTCTTCAGATGCAGGAGATCAGGGGATAACTTTGGCAGTGGAAGATTCATGTCCAGCATTGCCTGCAGCACTGCATGTGATCTGAGACGACAGGGACTTAGAGATTGGAAAAGTACAACAGGTACCATGTGGGGTAGATTTCAAAAGTGTGAACCCGCTATATGAAGCAGGTTCCATTGAGGCATATGAGCATGATATCATTTTGGCCAGAAATTTCAAATGGGATGGGAACAGGTCATGCCACAAGAGAAAAATTCTTACTCTCAGGTTACTTTGAGAAAAGATAAGGCTAAACTAATATTTTTTGATGTTCCAAGGCTTAGCTCTGAGCAAGCTACGCTAAATACGCTAGAGTTGAAGGTTTACTTAAAACTACCTCTTGTGTTTTAATAATTAGTACTTTAATGAGTAAACCTTTTTAGCACTTTTTGAGTCTTTCAACCATACAGATTCTCTATTAGAGCAAGATGATTACCTAGCATAAAAAGGCGTCATGTTGGAGAAACAGAAAAAAAAGTCACTCTAACATGATCTTTTACTATCTGAACCAATTTCACATATTCGTTTACACAGCTCTCCAACTACGTTTGGAGTGTCCTATTCCTTTAGTTAATCAAAGATTTCTATACAGAGTATTTACAAAATGACTATAGAAATCTCTTGTTCAAATCCTTAACATGTAAAATCTTCCTAATGGCTTAAAACTATGCATCACCTACCTCTAAACAGATTTAGACTTCAAGACACATCGGTGCATATTAAACAGTTAAGAAAAATAAGACAATTTTGCAGTGAAAAGCTAATCTATATTACCTCTATAAGAAAAGCATCTAGGCTAGGTCTCGGAGTCCAATTTCTTTCTGCTTAAGCCATTACTATTAGGAAAAAACAAACCAAACATGCACATGTGACTTAAAAACAAAATCTCCTCAGATACTCTCAAAGAACTGCTAGGCAGCATTTTCCCCTCCATGGTTCACACCGAGAACTGTAACATTTCAGTTACTTTCATAAAATATCTCCAAGTAGCATAATACTCAGCTCTTCTCTTGCTGTGCTTCAGCATTCCCCTTACAACATTCTGAAGCAGCCATCCTCGTTCCATGTCCAAAGTCTTAACAACGTCTCATATATAAAACTGAAGATATCAAGTGGATGACTGTAAGTTTTCTGTTTTCTCCATAAAGAACTGTGTCCTCTTTCATTTGCTTGGACTTTTGTCTCCTAACTTTGATGAACTTCATAGAAAAAAATAGTCCAGTGTCCACCATCATAGATGTAGAAATAACATTGCATAGTAAAAGCAATATGCTGCAGAAAAGCTTGGATGTGTTTCCATGTCATGGGATTCAGATGTGGTAATAAAAATCTTGGTGAAAGTAAATATAGTAAAATGTTACATGATTATTCTTTGCAGTTCCACAGAGGAACAGAAAAGATCCAGACATCATAATTTTGTTTTTTTGTTTATGTGACCCTAAAAATTTAAACCCTCAAATGCTGTTTAACAGAACTGTAACCATTTCAGTCTATTTTTTCTGTAAGATCCAAATTCTGTATTTAGGTATTAATAAGTTTTTTTATTGGACAGACACGTCAGGCACAAGAAGAAATTGTTTCTCTGTTCTGTGGTTATAGGATAAATAAATTTGATAAAATCTTTCCTTATAAATGCCATGAGAAATAATTAATCCCCGGGGCATAATGACCAGAACAGTAAAAATCCAGGTTAGTCTTTTTTTCTTGATTTGTTATAATTTGCCACACAAAAGCAATCTAAAAGAAAGATCTTTATCAAACAAAATTACTTATTCATTTCTAACATGCTACAAAAGCAAATTTTGAGACTTAAGATCTCAGCACAAGTTAAAGGTCACAAAAATTCATTCCCTTCTGCATAATACATAAGAGAAATTTAATGCAATTTTTACTACAGTACATTTAACAGCAAGAGCCTTGTCTGGCCACAAAAATGATGAATAGTCATTTCGGAGAGAATTCTTTCTGGTCTAGAGTGATATTGTCTTTAATAACTGTATAATTCAATTATGTGTGTTAGCTTAGAATTACTATTAGCAGTATTGAGCACTCAAAAACCACTCCCCTGCTCCCATCAATCCCTACCACATGTAAAGAAATTGACCTTCCATCACAGCAAGTAAGTATTTCTCTGCGGCTTCCTGATTTTGGGAAAAATTTGATTTTAAAAACCCATGCTCCACAGTTCTTGGGAAAAATGAGTACAAACTCAACCTCATATGAACATAGTAACTCGCAGGATGTGACAGGCCGAGAGAGCTACCTTATCGTGTATAAATTTTGACGAGTGCCTCCTAAAATTATTTTTTTGTTATTTTGAAGCCAAATTTAAAGAGTAATTACATTAGTTCTCTGTTCTGAACCAGAGGAAAAACAACATTCTTGGGAGTATTGAGTAACTGTATAACAGGCATGTTTGTCTGGCGCTCAAAGTGCATCAAATTACAAGTGATTTTCATTATCAGAAGTTGAAATGTACTTTTATAAAATCATATTAAACGGCAGCTACATAAACATACATGGGTTTAATGCACAATCAGTACAGGATGCATGGGTAGTAGCGTAGCACCTTCAAAAATGATAAGGGCACTTGGATTTGAGCTGAAGTCCCTGTTAGGAAGAAAGGTTTGGCCGAATTTGGCTTAAAGGCTGATAAGCTAGGCATGACACCAGGTGAAACCGAGAATGAAACTTTCACCAGTCTCTGACCTGGTGGCTCAGCAATGGTAATTAAGGTTGTAGTAAAAAATTTAACCTTCTTCTGCAGAAAACAGAAGACAATTGCAAAATAAATGGAATAACAGTTTCATCTAGTTCCTAAACATGAGGAATTTTTTATTCTCTTTCCCGTTAGAATGCTCTTTTGCTATTTACAATTACAAAAGACATGAGCTATTTTCTTGTTATCTGTTTGTTATAATACAAAACTCTATTTCTTCATGTGTTTTTCAGATGATCTGCTCAAGTGACTTATCAGAGCCATCGCATGGCCTCCTCTTGGTTCTTTCACACACAAATCAGTGGAGCAAGATGGCAGGAAGCGGTGATCTAGCTGTCTACAGGTAAAATTAAGACTTTATCTACAATGCTGTTTATAAGTAAATGAAAAGGCGTGTTGAAGTTTGCCATTCCAGGTATCCCTATCTTGCCAAATTCTTTGCTTCCTCTTTCTATAGCTCAACAAAAATAGCCTCAGTCCTACTTTGAGCAGGTGAGACACTAGGTCCCATGTACTCTGTGCTCTTCCTGTTATTCTCAGGCATCAGGGAGCTGCTGCGGACAGTCTGACAAAGATTTGGAAGAGACAAGGAAATGCAGAAAGCACAGGAAAAGGTGGTTTCTTCCAGATGCAGTTGAAGAGCAAAAGTTGTTCTTACTGCCATTGCGAAGGCCCAGATTCTGCCAGTGACCTTTTCTAGGGCTCATCTGGACCCCCACATAATGCCTCGGCTCAAGTTCTCTGGGTGTTTTTTAATAAAACAATTAGAAAACCTCAGCCAAAGTAATTTTTTATAGCATGAAGTCAAGCACTCCAAAGATAAGGAAGTAGAAATTTAAGAAGAAACTTTAAACAAAGGTTACTCTTTAAAGTGGCCCTCTTCTGTCAAGGTATACGCAGCTGTGTTCCGCTCATTTGATTTTCACAAGACTTCTGCCCTTTCCAGGGCACTCAATAAACAATTGTTGTGCGTTATACTAGTTAGATAATAGAGAAAAACTCTAATTTTTTTATCAGTATTCAATAGGTT